ATAAAACAAGAGGAAAAATGTGCTGTAATCTAGTGTCACTCTTTTTTTTTAAGGAAGAAAATACAATCAAGACTGCAATTAAATGACTACAGCTATTTATTTTATGTTAATTTAATTTCATGTGTTTACTGAATTTACTAATGCCAGTTTTAATTTATGTTATATAGTTATTAATTGTCTTGAGAAAAATATAAACTGTATTTGTTAAATGTACCCTTTGCTAAGCAAGTATAAAAAAAATAGAGATACAAGTTGAGCTGCTAAATTGCTGAAAGACACCATAACATGTATTTATTCTCCTTAATTACACAAAATAATTAAAAATCACTGTACAGTGAAATTAGGAAATAAAGCTAATCCATGTTCCCCACAATAGGCACTTTCTGGTACAAGGCATTTTTCTATTTGCAAAGCTAAGACCTGACCTTTGTTTCAAAATTAGGCTTAATTCAATCATATACTCAGTCTTTTGTGTATCTCTCCGAGTATTATTCACTAAACTGGATAATTACAGTGAATTTGGAGCAGTTGGCCTGCTACCAAGCCCAAAGAGCTGCTAGAAAGTCGGACCTAAGGAGTAAAGGAAAGTTTTGAGAGATCGGTTAAAAGGAGGTCAGAAGATCGGGGCCACTCGTATGTTGGTGTTCTGTTCCCTTCTCTTCACCGATTTATTTCAAGGCCGTGATCACAATGGAATAAACTGTTCACTAGCATTTTCCCTACACTCTTGCAGTGCAGTTTTCTTTTCTCATCCCCTCCCTCTATGATACACTCGCTGCCAAAATAGACACTGGAAAAACTGGGGGCTCTTAAAATGGGTAATGTTGGATCGTTGGAGGCCCCTGTGCCTTGGTGCATATTTAAAACACCACAGTGTCACTGATGCTGTCCTCCATGAGAGGGAAGCTTGTTGAAGCTCAAACTTCATTGGGCACATTATTTCAAATGACCAACAAAGCATAAGAAAGTTTCCGTTTAAAGTGTCGGGGCCAGAAGTGTTTTTCACACCATGTGGCTCCCTCGGTGCCGACACTCTCCGTTTCTCTGTCGGCCCGGGTTACGGACCAGTGCCAGAACATTGGAGTACAAATTTTGCATTCCCTCCAGAAATTGTTGTTATACACCACTCACTGTTAAGCAAAAGAAGAGGTTTTATTTCTACTTTTGAATCATTATGTTTCTCTCATCTTTTCTTCTCTATACACTTAATAACTGACAGGACCACATTGCTTGACTGTACAGACAAATTATTGCAGCTACACTCTCACTCTTATCGCACATTTTCTGCTACCACAGTGCCATATTCATGCCGGTGAGTATAAAGACAAAACTCCACTTCGTCTTGATTGGTCTCTTTTTCATTATGTAACTGCATCTGATAGCTTTACCTCCATTTGAAGCTCAGGATACTGGGCATAGCAGATAAGATGTGTTTGATGGATTAGCGTGACGTGAAGGCGTTAAGTCTCTCAGTCTGGCTGTCTGTCTCCCTGTCGATTCCTCTCTTTGTTCGCCTCTATTATAAAGTCTCATGGCCATTTGTAACAGCAAGACTACACACAGTAGACACATTGATGCATAAATGAACATCTTAGCAGCACCATAGCAGAATGGAGATACAGTACAGTCTGGCACACACAACCAGTTTGCTGTTTGACCTGGCCCTCTGGTCGGTCTGCCTTCAGCTCAGAGAGCAGATATTGAGACTAAAACTCAGAAAAAAACACATTTTTATCCTACCAGCCTCAGCAGTAAAAGCTGAATGAGTCAGCTTGAGTTGAAATCATGACCAATGCTGGAACTGTGTGAGCTTTCTGATGACTGTGCTTCATTAGACAAGGGATTATGGCCCATAATGCCCTAACAACATGAACTGATCAAGGAGTCTCTCGAGGAGAAAGGACTTCAGTACCCAACTGGCAAACCAGAGTTTAAAAAAAAGAAAAAAAGAAATGGAATCAATGATTAGATAGGATCCTTCCTCTCTTTCACCCTCTATCTCCTTCACATCCTTCACATCCCTGAGCCATTACAGTTATCATTACCATCAGATGCACCGGAATAAATGTAAGGAATATGAACCACTTTTGTAGTCGACTCATCAGTGTGCAATGATAATATCATGATCTGTGTGTGCAGCCAGGTAATTGTCAAAAGAAAAATGCTCTTTTCTTTGCAGAGGAACTCTTCTTTGCAGCTGTATAGCAGAAGCGCAGATCTAAGAACAGCGGCTGTGATCTGTCCCAGCTTTCACTGCCTCGTCTAGAAGGGCCCAAGTCTATAACTGGACAAAAGCAGGGACACATACTGTACTGTAGGCAAGCAGAAACAGAGGAGGGGGTTAGTGTGAGAAGGAGAAGGGGGAGTGTGTATCTCATGTTCTGTCAATCACGCCGCTTGAAAGTAGAGCCCCCCCTCCCTGCAGCTGGCGACAGTGACATCAGTGGGACAAGAGAACTGAAACACCGCGGCAGGGAAGGGAGGGCAAGACGACTGTGGTCCAATCATCAGGCCTGGCAACTGATAGCTTCCGCAAGACACAGACACCCTGGAATGAGGAGCTAAGAATACAACTGTAACGCTGCCACCCTAAAGGTTAGAATGGAGCCACAGCGAGTCTGTCCTCTGTAAACTCTGGTTAACCCCAGTCAGCCTCAGAAAAACAGAGCAATTCCAGCTGATACAATAGGATGTTTTCACTTGAAATGTTTCTGAATGTCTTCCCCTTTCCATTCTAGGCGTACATGAAAAGTGATGTGCAAAATGCCTTTCAGGTTTCTGTGAAAACGCTGAGCAGGATCAGAAAAAGAAAGCACTCTGCCTCTCACAGCAGTTGACGTGAGAAGATACAGCTTTAAATGCACAAAGCTTACTTGGACATGACAACAAAAATGGACGCAATTTCCTCTCGAACACATGCATCTTGCAATCATAAAAAATGCTTATATTCAATTAAGGGAATAGTGTGCTCTTGACTTAAGAGCAATATTGTACTAAATAACAATATACGTATACAAAAAAACACAATTCATTAAGATGAAGGCTGGCCCAGTGTATTTACAGGGGATGATTGGCTGCTGGAATCTGGCACAGAGTAAAAAAAAGGCTTTACTCGGAGGGGCACCAGGCTGCGCTGGGAGCTAATCTGAGCCGTGGTTCGCCACGGCACATTCTGGAACAGGAAGGGACGCTCATGGAGGCCCCGCAAACTCAAGCAGAGTTACACACTGGGCTGAAAGGAGCCTGGCAAGGGGTACTCTATCACAGAGGAGTGTTGCACCTCCCTGCCAAGGAGGAGAATTAAGGTCCTGTAACTGTATGCCAGTCTGTGGTCAGAGACAAAGGATAATAGTAAAGGGCAGAGAAAAGCTCTGTGACTGTGTGAAGAGAAGTACGTCTGACTCCAACTGCAAACACCTAAATTACGGAAACACAGAACAAGCCTGTATCTGCAAAGTAGCTAAACATTGAGAAAAAATACCAGCACTCTAATGAATCTTGAATTAATGCTGCTTAGACTTGAGACAAAGCTGAGCTTAAATTATGATTATGATCCTGAACGACAGTAAGAGCTCATATAGAGAACATACACATGTACACATCTGAGTGTCTGTCTGAATACCCTTGTAATATCAGTGAGGATCTATCAATAGTTGTGTTCAAATTTTTTTATTTAAAGATATCTTCTAACCAATTTTACATGAATGTTAAGATAGTCAGATCTCCAAAGCTCTGAATGCTATTTGTTTATCATTTAAGAAGAGGAGTTTTATTTGAATCATAATTCTGTTTATTTAAGTAACACTTCAGTAATAAAAACATTTAGAATTATAGAAATACATTTTAATAACCATTGGAAAAAACTCCTTGTTTTTCAAAAGAGAAAGGTTTTTAAAGGGGAGGAGCTAATACAACATTTGTAATAATTATTTATCAAAAATGTATTACTATCTTGAAGCAAATTAGACTTGCTTATTAAAAAAAAACAAGTACTAAATAAAGTATGAAATTAAATTGATATCAATATATTTTTTTTAATGATCCTGTGAGTTTATTTAGTCCAACAGACATTTGTTAAACAGACTTCCAAGAAAAATACATCTGAGTTTGAATACACATCCTTCTAAAATATATTTGGCCACATAAGAAGCACATGCGCTGAATAAAGTAAATATCATTTTATAAAAACAGATACAGAGAAACACTTTGTGTGAGAGATTGATACAATCTGGTAAACAACGAGTTGTGTGTCCACTTGTAAGTGTGTGTGTGTTTGTGTGTGTGTGTGTGTGTGTGTGTGTGTGTGTGTGTGTGTGTGAGTGTGTGTGCAGAGTGGTGTAAAGCTGAGGTGGCTGAGGCTGCAGACAGGCTGACTTTCCCTGCTAACTAAACTACCTGGGACTGTTCCAGCTGTCACTGCACTCTTTAGACCACAACACAAAAGACCTCACGGAAACACATCACACTGCTACTGATACACACCAATCTCAAAATAACACACACGGATTACAGACATGTGACAAACTGCTTCACACAAACACACGTATGCACATGCATGCACACACAGATAAACAGGTTTGCAGATGCTTTTGTTTACAGATGGCACTGGAAAACATGCACATTTGGATTTAGACAAATTTGCACACAAATACTTGAACAAATGTACCAACGCAAACATATCTCTAGGTAAACATGGGTTTAAAGCCTGACTGTCAAACTCTCAGAATCTCTTTAAACCAGATAGAAACATCCCTCTGAAAGACATTTTTTAGAGATTACACTGTGCAGACTTTCCTTTTAAATGTCAAGACATGAGTGCTATCTGTCCTGTTTGGATTTATCAAAGCCTGGCACAGACTCAGCTGGGTACATGGTGAAAGGCAGCATCTAATCTGTGACTCACATGCCAAGGTGTGTGTCGCACATGACATAATGCCCTGTGGACGTATAAATGTAAAAAGTTGTAATGATGGATGCTTGTGTAGAATCTAACAACATACCTGGTGTGTGGACGAAGTAGGCCAGGTAGAGGTCCAGCTCCTTGACCGTCACTCCAATGTGGTGCGGCTGGACACACAGGCCATGGTTGGAGCACTGGGGCGACTTGACCAGCCGCTCTCCATCCGTGCTCTCCAGGGGGCTGCCTTTGAACAGGATGACCATCACTAGGTCCAGCCGCCACACCTTGTCAGCCTGGCGGAGGCAGTCGATTCGTCGGATCTTGCCTTTCTGGTCAGGGTTTGACAGGACGCAGCAGGGGGGCTTCTTCCCTGTGATGGTGAGCACAAAGTCCTCACGGAACTCAGGCCGGATGTCCTTGCGCAGCTTTGCCAGCAGACGCGAGGCCCACTTCTGCTTGATCTCCGGCTTCTCTCCCAACAGCTCATCCTTCACTGCACGCTCTTCATCCTTGGTCATCCTCTTTTCGTGCTTCTTGAAGTACTTGCGCTTACGGGCCTGCAGGTTGAACCAGGTGTAGGAGAAGGCACGTACATGGGGGAGGAGGGCCTCAATGAAGGGATGAAATTCATCCTGTGACAAGAGAGAAAGGCGTCATGTCAGAAGGCAAAAAACAGGCTCATAATTTATCCAGAAGCATGAAAACCATCGGAACGTTGTTATACAGAGATACTTAAAAAGTCATAAAATATTTAAAAAATAACTGATAACATTTTTGTAATAAGTAAACATAAATTACAATTATACAATTAATTAGAATCAAATTACATATTCATTTGAATGATTAATTATTTTGAAGTAATTAAAATTATAAGTTTTCAGAGAAAAATGTCAAAAATGTTTTATCAATACCATACAGATTAAAAAATATTAAACAGCAATTTAAAGAAATTAACTTAACTGTTAGATCTAAAACCTTTTTTTAAATATTGACTTAATAAAAAGGCATTCAAGATAACACATGCAAAATAAATGAACTGAAATCAAAAAGCAACTAGAAAGCTGAGCCAAGTTGCACTCCCGCTGCTTTTCTGTAAAGGAAAAGTTATTCTGCTGAACCATAATACCTTCACTACATATCTCTGGGCAACAAAGCCCAGATCTCGCCACAGCGTTCCTGTGCCAGGGTCACCACCGCCAAGCTTTGCCGCCACAAGACCACTGTTGAAATGTGCAGCTAAAAGATCAGCCATACCATTTCCTATCTGCTCTACCATGCAAGGGAGCTCCAACCAGACTCACATTTCCACAACAAACTGAAGGCAGAAAGAAATCACCACAGAAAACCACACAGCTAGAGGAAGACAGACGGCCTGGTAGTTACCATTTTGCACTCTCATCATAAATTTGGCACAGCTTTTAAAGTGAAAAAAAAAAAATCTCCTGCACCAGTTTTTTTTCCTCCCGAGCTCCCCAATGTAAAGCAAGAGCTGCTTTGGCAGGCTGTTGAGAATTAGCAGATGAAAAAAAAAAAACTTAGGGAGGGGGTTGTAAAAAGAAAATAATTAGCAGAATACGCTGCTCACTAAAAACAGTGGGCCAAAGTTAAAAAAAAACAACAAAAAAAAAAGATTTAAGGAGCGACAAAATTCAATGCCGCAGGACGACTGCCAACAGCTCTTTGGAAAAAAAAAAAAAAAGAGGGAGAAACTAAAATTTTAAACTTGTAACAAAAAATAAAAATGTGATATATTAACAGAATCACTGTTATAGAGAAAAAGAACTTCGGGAAAAGATGCACTTAAAGTAAACAATCCTTTACGGATTCCCCAAAAAAAAAAAAAAATGAACCTTGAAGCAAAAAAAAAAAAATCCTTGGCAAAGTGTAATTGGTAGTGGTGTCTGTTCTGATCCCTGGGCCCGGCGCAAGACTCACACACACACACACACACACACACACACACACACAGATGGGGGGGCCAGGGAGAGCAGAGCAGAGAATAAAGAGAAAAAAAAATAGAGAGCCGAATCAATGTTGGACGAGCGCATACGACCGCTGGCAAAGCCAAGTGCTGCTTCTTTTTTCCCCTTTTCTCTCCAACTCTCTCTCTTTCTCTTTCTGTTTCTCGCTCGCCGTCTCTCGTCCTCTCCACGTTCTTTCCCTAACCATTGCTTGAGTCTTTGCCAACACGAGTAGGGCCCACCTATTTGGCAACAAGATGCCTGTAGCCCAGCCAATGCGTTAGCTTCAAGAGCTGGAAGGGAGGGAAAAGAGAAGAGGAGAGGGGGGGGCTGTGGTGGCAAAGAGAGGGAGAGGAACAGAGCGAGCAGGAAAGAGAGAGAGAAAGAGAGAGAGATAGAGCAGGAGGGAGCAGGTGGGAGTGTAAGAGAGCGAGCAGCCTTGTCCGACGCTGCACAATTTGCCAAATCGACAAGTTCCACTCTGACACGGAGGCAAAGTTCAGGGGAGCAAGTCTTCTCCTGCACCAATCCCCACAGCCCTCAGCCCGCCTCCATCTTTACTATGGCCGCCATCACCTCGTATCCCTCGTCCCCCGCCCTCCCCTGCGCTCCTCTGTCTCTCTCTACCCTTCTCCGTGCTTGCATAATGCCACCTTGGCAGAGGATGGCACAGAGAGGACACACAGCTTCAGAATCCCTCCAGACCCCACCACCAGCAGCTGCTCATGGGTTTACCACAGCAAAACAAAGAGGGAGAAACAAACCCAGGCAGCCACACTCCTCTGATTGCACGCACACAAATCAATGACGAGATGATGCTAAATAAAGAAATGATTACAGAATTTAAAGGGGGAGGACGCAGAATCTGCCTCTGCTGTAATGAACAGCGCTGAAACTACAAGATAAATGGTCAGCGAGAGTGTATCCCATGAAATCCCCATCCCAAAATTAGCTCTGCACCTTCCCACTGAACCTTCTGGGAGCATTTGGTGTTCGGTGTATGTCGACAATGCCAACATTGGCTGCCATGTTGCTTTATTGTGAAGCATGGCATTCAGGGTAGCACCTGCTTCAGACAGACTAAGGGCACAAGAGCTGCTGAATCATAGACCGACCACAAGAGGAGTTTTGTGACTCCAAAAAAAAAAAAAAACTAAAAAGACATGGAAAAATTCTGTGCTGTTTACGTAATCCACATTTCTGCCAAGGATGAAATCCAAGGCAACAAAATCTATTGAATACAACAAAACCCAACAAATGCATCTGCAAGAAACATGTGGAGCTGAACCCTTTAGTCAATTAAAAGAGTCGATCCAAAGAACCTGCAAGAATTTCAACGGGAGACTAATTGTTTCAATCATCTTTCAAGCAGTGCAAAACACTTCCCGGGCCCAATACTCTCAGAAATGGGGATTTTACGCTGTCCTTTGCAATGCATAATGTAAAATTAATATCTGTGACCTACAGAAAAAAACAAGCAATTAAAAAAGAATTCCCATGGACACTTCGAAGCTCGATCCAAAGGCAACTGGACGAGGCTGAAGAGCTTCAAGATCCACAAGTCCAGATGCCTTTGGATCGAGCTTCGAATTTACCATGATCCGGATGAGTGAGAAGAACCTACACAAACACCATGGACACTTGAAAATGATAAGATAACATCCAACTTTTAGGCATTTTATAGCTAAAATGAACACACAGGAGAGAGATCTTTCTAATTCTAATCATGATATTCATTCCCAGCAGAAATTGGGAACAACTGTTGGTCTGAGCCCCTGGATTGTGAAGACTTGAATCCTGACTTTGTCATTTGTGAAAGTTACTTAAAGTGTGAACCAATAATGACACTGTTTTTTTTTTTACAGCTTTAGAATAATGGCCGAGGTTACTGAAGCTCTATTTAACATGTCAGTTTGCATGATGCTAACAGACAAACACACTCAATACCATAATTATCCCTTTAATAAACATCACGGCCTCCAGCCTCACTCCATCTTCGAGTCATAAACATCAGCCTAATGAAACAGACTCCCACCCTTCATCTGTTAAAACAGTGAAGGTTTAATAGTGTTTGATCGATGCCAACGTGTGACGCACTTTAAGATAAAGCACCAAAAGCAGCAAAGGGGGGGGGGGGGGTCCACAAATGTCATTGTGCTTTTATAATGCATGTGTGTGGCGTCAAAGTGAAACATGTTTCTGTCAACACCTGCAGAAAAAAATGTCAGTTAACTGAACTGGCACTTGAATTTGAAAACCCCTTTTCTGCTTTTCAGTAGAAATTAAACGTTTGTTTAATCAATTAATTGTTTAATTGTTTAATTGTTTAATTAAACGAGCTACATCACCATTCATATGTCACCGGGACTGGGGGGGGGGGGGGGTGCAAGTAAATTTCCTTAGCCAGCTATTCTAAGAAAAATAAAGTTTCTTTTCATAGTTTATATAGGTTTCCAAGAATAAGTGTTCGCAGATAATTTACTAATCTATAGGGAGAAAAACTGTCACTCAAACGCTCTCCGTGAGTGAGATGAAGATGTCTGAATTATCTACTGCGTCACACGAGGTCTACATATTTAATGCGACACAACGTTTTAAAAAGTAGGCCAAACAACCGACATAAACATATCATGGGGAGTGTCTCTGGCTTTATCTCCTTACCTCGAAACTAAACAAAAGGCTTAATAAGCTTGGCCTGTCGCTCTCAGTCGTCATTCGCAGTAAGTGGTGTTTTCTAATATCTTCAAACAATCAGTGTTCAGCACGAGCTTCCGCTGTCATCTCACCTTCACTTTAAAAGCCCCAGAAAATAAACTGTTGCTTCACCAACCTGAATGATGCATTATAAGTCATTTCATACCTGGAAATACAAATAAACTAATAATAACGAATATATATCTCTGTTCATTGGCTGTTCAGCCTACTCTACTGGATCAACACGATTTAAAAGAAACGTATTATTCCACACCACCATTTTTAACAATTAGGCTTTACCTACATTATCATCAAGATTGAATAAACAAGGCGCAAAAACTCACCCAAATCAATTAAAAATGCGCCATCACTTTCACCCTCTTTTTCTTTTTCCTGTAGGCTATCTCTCTCTCTCTCTCTCTCTCTCTCTCTCTCTCTCTCTCTCTCTCAAAAAAAGAGAGAGAGGGCACTTAAAAAACTTGATTATAGTGACATCACAAATAAAGTCTTCCATGAATATAGGCTGTTAATAGGCTGGATGTGGAAAAAAAAGAAGTTTTTTAAACGACGGACTGGCACCGGCACAGTTAGATTTGGCGACTAAAATCAGACGTCAATTCACACAGAAAGAGGAGATGCAAAACTTAGTTTATGCTCCGTTAGAGTGAACTGAACATTATTAAAATCAAGCAGTCCCCGGTAAATAATCCATAACCTGGTAAAAAGCTCCAGATATGAAACATCCTCAATAATTTATTCATTCGTGTGTAAAAAAAAAAATATTTTTTTATCATGATCTCAAAGCTCTGTTCCGATCTTGCCCTGGAATATAAAATATGTGTTTTGATGGTTTTTATTTATATTATGAGCCTATTCAAAGATCACAATTGAAGCACGCACCACAAAATCACCTTTTCTCCGCAAAAGCTTCGATTTCACTTTACAAAATGTGCTACCCAGAAAACCCTCTGCTGAAT